AAAAAAAAAAAAAATCTGCACAAATTTGTTCCATAATGTGCTACAATAACACTTATGTTTCAAGGCACCCTTTTTGTTAGGGCTTCTGTAGTTCTAACAAAGCTTAGTAGAACTGTGATTTGCAGCTTAAAAATGAGTCCTAATAGTGAATTTTATGGTTTTCTGAGCCACATTTGCTTGCAGTAATATTTCATGAAAGTCATTGCATTTTAGATACAAGAGAACAAAATGTCTGAGGGCGGGGACAATCATAACCCATGTCCTGCTTACAAGTGCGTCACATCACTGAAAGCAGTTGGGCTTTCACAAGTCATGTGGCTGCAGGTTCTGAGGTTTTGGGGTGTCCTGGAAAAACTGTCTTCCTGAAGGGAAGTGAAGGACTGTAGTCTGTCCTCAGAGATACCTGTGTAGGAGTGGTGACCCATGAAAGGTACAAAACCACCAACCTGGCTGACAGACAAGATGTTCTCCATGCACTGAATTTTTACACAATATACTTTTCAGAGATAGTCCATATTTAAATTATACAGGTCTCTACATTTTACCTGCCTTTGTGGAAAGTGAATTTGGAGTATAATTTACAGAAATGAAATCTAAATACAGAATATACTTCCTTTGAAATAAAGAGATTGGAAACCGGACTCTCAAGCCAGGACTTAGATATCCTCAAGAATGCCAGAACAAATATATCTGTGCCATCAATCTTATTGCTGGCGCATTGTAAAGGTTAGATAGACAGAAAGCAGCTTTGAACTTTAAAAAAAAGGGATAATGTCAGTGGATTTATCTCTTCTTCCTTCACCAATTTTCCTTCTTATTCAGAGGACAGTAAATTTATGGAAATAGACAAATCAAACTCTGTGTACGCAGCTCAGCATGAACACCTTGCCCTGATCCAGAGACTGTCTCGATCAGAGAATGTGCTCTACGGGACAAACCTGGAAAACCTTTCTGCTGGGATGATGAGTAAATCTTGTGATAACCTCAGTGTGGAAATCAGCAACAGGGCTAGAGACAAAAGTAATCTCGGCAGGTAGGTTTGCTTTTTTCTGTAAACAATACTCAGCTGCACACTACATCACTGCAAATGTCTTTGATTAGCTGTGAGGTGCAGGGCTTTTTTCTGCAGTATTTAATGTCACAGCAGAAAGCCCAGTCAGGCCCGGGCCTCTGCTTGCCAACAACCATGCAAGCCCAGGCAGGAAGCTAACAATCTACCAGATAAGAAGTTGAAAGAAGAGTTGACATTTAAATTTGTATCAGACTCAGGAATGAACCACTTACTGGGATATAGAGAAGCATAAAAATGGGGCAGGACAAAAGTGAAGTCTTTAATGTGTGCCTTACCGTGTACCTTCTCTGGAAGAGACAGTTGGTACACTGAATGCAGAGCGGAGGCTCTGCAGGGCTGTAAACGTCTGCATTCCCTGCTTGGCTCTGATGGACTGATGGCAAAGAGGGGTGCTGAACGCCACTGCTGGTTTGTTATTGCAATGCATCTCCATCCCCTCCTCTGCAGATCCACATCAGGGCTATCTCAGTCAGAAATGCACATCAATCTGAACGGAAAGCAAAGGAGTTACGACTACCTCTCTATCCACTCAACTCAGAACACAAGCAGCGGTGAGTATAATAATCATGAAATAAGGTGGTACTCCTCCATATTTGCTGTTTCACTGCCAGAAGACCAAAATATGATCTATTTACAGATCAAAGCATAAAATTTGCCACTTCTAGTTCTGAGAATTAAGCCAGGGCTTAGCACGACAAGTTGTGTTCTTCATTCCTCCTTTCCTTCAGGATCAGTGGTTAAGGACTTGATGACCACCAGTGATGCCTGATGTTCTTCAGAGTAGTAGTCCAGTACACCCAGAACTCTTGCATGGGCAATATCCCAGTGCTTGGAGATCACCACTTGGTTTGCCATTGAATCATTAAATGATGCAGGAGACAAAACATATTCTAGCTCTCTCCTCTGTGCTTCTGTACTCATCATACAATGACTGGGATAAGAAAAGCTACACACTACAAAAGCCATCATCGCAATCAGTGTTGATGGGATTATAATTATGGAGCCAAAGGAGCACTGTAGAGCCCTCAGAGCCTAGGACAAGAGTTTTCAACAGAATGTGTAAAAGATTTTGTGTCCAAATTCCTCTCATTTTCAATTGGTGCTAGGTGTCTTAACTCTTTAAATAACCTTTTCTTAACAAGGTTAGATGTGCACTCTCCCAGAAATAACAGACAGATCCTGTGCAACATAGTCTAGGTGATTCTGCTTGTGCAGGGAGATTGGACTAAATCATCTACAAAGGACCCTTCCAACCTCAATGACTCTGGGATTCTGTGACAGAACATAGGAGATGCTCAGACGGCTGCTGTGCTTTCCTGTTCTATGTATATTTTATCTAAAGAAAGCAAATTTTCAAACACTTCTTTTAGCTTCCATCTGAAATTAAATTCATTCAGGAGTAATGGTAATCTTGAAAATAAGGAGAAAATAGTTTTTAAGCCTCAGTTGTGCATATTACATGAATCTCTTGTCTCTCTGCACTCATTTGCATTTATTCTAGCTGTTTTGTTTCTGCAGCACCTGGATCACCAGTCATCCAAAGAGAACTTTTGCTAAGTGGTCTAGAAAGAGAAATCGTTTGTGTCACCCTAAAACGTGATGCCAAGAACGGTTTTGGTAAGTAAGGAGCAAGAACGTGATGTTTGTTGTCAGATCTTGGTGCTAACAGTGATCCTTGCTGATACAAGCTAAGCAAGACTCTACTTTTCACCTAATTTTGCCTGTATAATGAGACAACCAGACTTTGCAAAGGACTTAATGCAAAGTTTTGCTGCTGACCATTAACATAGTTTAACATCAGATTTCAAAATGGTAGTAATCTGAGTGGAAATTCTTGATTATAAATTCAACTATTTACCAGTGAAAAAGATTCTTTTTTTACATACGCAGAGTATTATGAGATAGTACAATGAAATTAAACTACTTTTCTTGAACACCTCTGACATAAGCATTACAATTGTCCATGGTCTATCTTCAGAGTCCCAGACTACATGATGTAAAATAATGTCCTAACTTACCTAATGAGATTTTAGACTGTGTTTCTCCTGTGCTAGCACAATTTCTAAGGTCTTGTAGTAAAGGGGTTGGAATATTCTGAAGTCCCAACTCAGGAAAGTATTCTTACTGTAAAAGAAACTATATTTAAATACCAGTCACCAGCATGTTAAAATTAAAGTTTGAGTCTAAAGGTCTCCCAAACCAGGAGCTAGATGTCTTATAAATCAGACGTCCCCATTCTCCAGACCACACATACAATGTATGCTACTGGAATAAGATGCTTTTGTTCTCCTAAGGTTCATCTTTCCTAATGCTGCCAATGTCTTGGCCTTCTCTTCTTGTTTTTGCAGGTTTTGTAATTATTGGAGGAGAAAACATAGGAAAATTAGACCTTGGTATCTTTATTGCTTCAATTATTCCTGGGGGACCTGCAGACAAAGCTGGAAATATCAAACCAGGTCACTATCCTCAGTTTTTATTAGAATTAAAACACTTTCATGTTTTAAAGTTAGCTATTTTGGGTTTATTTCCCTATTCTGATGTGATTTGCCTTGTTTTTTTTTCTTTTTTTAAGGGGGACGACTCATATCTGTGAATAATATTAGTCTCGAAGGTGTTTCGTTTAATACTGCCGTAAAAATTATACAGAATTCTCCTGATGAAGTGGAACTTATCATCTCTCAACCCAAAGGTATAAAGTCAAATATCTTCACTGGCTGCGAAACACTAAGAGTTAACTTTAGATACTGGTATTTATTAGGCTTTGGGATGTAGTACTTTCTTTCCCCTCAGTGCCAGATACAAAAAGCACAGGTAGTAATGAGAACAGGCAACTTCTTATGGGCATCATGTGAGTGCTGTCCCATATTCAGTGTGAAAAAACCTGATATGTTATGGGCTTTATCCTACACTGATGAGCACAATAGGAATTTTGGCATTGCTTTTTAAGACAGAATTAGCTCTATAACACAGCTCTTAAACACTGTTGTTGTCACGGTCCTCTGCAGTGATAAAGGAAATTCATTTCTCCATACTTAAGACAGCTATGCTCACTTTTACAATTACTAACTCACATGACAGATCCCAGATTTCACAACCAGTCTATATATGAAGTTATTTTGTCCTGCAACAGGACAAATAGTTATTATATGTCCTCCAGTTATTATATGTCCTCCAACATATAATATATAAGTGCCTTCATTTTTTTTTATTTGACTTCAGCAATGTTTCATTTTGCAGACATTTATGAAGAAGAATTAAATGAAGAGAAGAGTCTATCAAGAGGGAACAGCACTAGTGGATCTGAGATCTCTTGTGTAGACAATGGGAGAAGAAAGATTCAAGATTGTCATACTACTCCCTCCAAAGAACAGGACGTAAACATAGATGAACTTGAGAAAGCCCTTTCCTGGAATTTAGCACCAAAGTCGGGCCCCAGGATTCCAGTTCTTTCAGTTGACAACCTAGACGTGGAGGTAACGGAGATCTTGATGCTGCTTGTAAAATTATACTGGACATGTGTCTTAACAACATGGGTGCTGTACTAAGAACAAAAAGTAACTGAGAAGGTAAAAGGGAAAGAAGAAACAAAAACTTGGGAGATGTTGCTGCTCAATTAATCTTGAATTGTCAAAATGATATCCATGTCCAGAATGTGTAAAAATAGAGGGGAAACTGCTCCACAAAATTTAACTAAAAATTATCTTCCTTTCAGTGGAGCTATAAAACTTTGTTTTTATTTAGAGCTATAAAATGATTATTTTCGTGCAAGCTCAAGGATCTCAAACAGTACTTTCTGTGCTTGAGTCTCTACTGCAAGACAGCCTCTCTATTTACTCTCAGCTTATGCATATTGAGACAAATTAGATTCTGAGGAACACTAGTGTAAGCTTGAAATAATGCAAAGGTACTACTGCCAATGGTGTTACTCCAGGCCTACACGCAGTGCAGGATCAATCCCTTTATATACATATATTTTTTCTTCTTTTTTTTTTCCTTCACTGATGCTATAGCCTCATTAACGTTTATATTCTTGAGACAGGAAGGTGACTCCTCACACTTACCATCTCCGTCTGAATCCAACTCAAATGATACCTATACTGTGGAGCTTGTCAAAGAAGATGGGACTTTTGGAATCAGTGTGACTGCAAGTGTTACTGTTAATCTTTCAATGTGCCTTCAAATTGTTACATGAACAGAAATGAATAGGGACGTGTATATATGTGCAACAATTGCATGAAAAAAGCCACTAGCTAGAACTTGTAGCATGGCATGGTTCAAAGCAGTCTTTGATTGATCAACAAAGGGTGAAGTAGTGGTCCTACTCATTCCCCACTTCTCACCGAATAGTTTTTTTAAGTTTGCTGATGTAAAAATCACAGCACTACATGCTCCTCTCACCCTGACTTAGTTTGAGACCAAGACCTAGCACCGAAAGCAGGGTTTTGTCAGGGAGGACGATAGCCAGGGCCTCCTGGACGTGCTGCGGTGCAAAGCAACCCCTCGGAGGCAGCTTTTCAGTCGTTGCTGAAATGGAGTGGGAAGCAACAACCATTTCAGTGCTTGCAGAAGAAATGGAGGGCTGTTTTTTCATCTGGAATTGTCCAAGGGATGTAGGTGGACAGAATTACGTTCTTAGATTAGTCTGCAATTCCCCTGTGCTGGAGGTTCTTCAGTGGCTGCAGGAGTTCAGGTCCATGCTTTGTATACTGTTTGAAGGCTAATAATTGCTGAATACAAATTGCATATTTTAGAAGCTGGGTTAGAGCTTGGCTTAAAGGTGTAATTGTGTCATTACGTTAGCGTGGGGAAATACTTATGAATGTTTTTCAAATATACAGCCACATAGAAATGTGCTGTGCTTTACTGAGAAAAACAAAACATGTTTATGGTTTAGAGAAGAGAGGATGCTAGAGTTAACATTCTCTTCCATTTTTTTTTCATATATATACATATATGTTTAACTGTAACATCTAAAGCACTTGCCTGGCAATGCATGCATACAGTTGCTTTGATCTTTATCACAGTAAGAACATGGGAAGTGTCCACTCTAAACTGTGGATATATGTTTTGCAGGGTGGAGTTAACACTAGTGTGCGTCATGGTGGAATATACGTGAAGTCCATTATTCCCAGGGGACCAGCAGATAAGGATGGACAAATAAAGACAGGTAACATATTTGACAATAAAACTTTGGGGTACAGAACTCCATGTTAGTGTTAGGAAGTGCTTGTGACAGGAAACATGTTTGGGACTGAAAAGCCTACAACTTTGAAACATAAAATACACAGTCTTTGCTTGCCAGCCTGCCAAGCTAGAGTATTTAGATATCCCCCTGGAAAAAGACAAGAATCTCATACCTACATTGCACAGTTCCTCACCAGCTGCACATCAGGCTAGTGATGTTGCGATATCTACTTTCAGCACTGTTGTGACACAAGATGCTATCACTGCACTTGTTCACAGGCTATCTTTGTATATATTAAGAAGTGTTACGTATACTGTACCCTAAGCAGTAATGTTTTTACAGAAAATAACATAATTTCCCATGTGCAAGTGTGAAGTTCTAATGCATGTGGATAGCTTGGGAGTTAAAACCCAATGAATCTGAACATTAATGCAGTTTGCCTCTTTTTGTTTGTTTCAGGTGATCGTCTGCTGGAAGTAGACGGAATGAGCCTCTGTGGTATCACACACAAGCAGGCTGTGGAAAGACTTAAGAAATCTGGTCAGGTTTGTGTAATGGCAGAGCTGAATGACAGACCAGTGCAGCCAGGTGCACTCGGTAGGAAGGACAGTAGCAGATCTGCACCAAGAGGAATCCCCTCCCCACACATGCACACTCACCCTTCTCCTAATGAAAAGCAAAAGGGCTCATTGTGCATTATATAAATGGGACTTGTCTGCCCTTTTTAGATTGCCAAGCTTGTTCTAGAACGGGGACACAACCAATTGGCAGATCTGTGCCCGACAGCTAAGGCCAGAAAGGAGGACCAATGTGCAGTTGTTCCTGTAACATCCCTCACAGATGGTGGCAAGAACTACTCCTTCGTGACAGATGGTAAGAGATAAAAAAGGGACTCCCAGTGACTTTCTATGACTGTACTTCTTACAATGTGCAAGAAAGGAATGAATGAATGTAATTCCATGAAATTTCTGTGAGTTGGAAGGAAAACTGCATACTGAGCAGACCAGACAATGGGTGGTATTAATGGCATCATCAAAAATTAATTCTCAACAAAATATTTCTGAAGTACACAGATAGATACAATTAGCTATCAACCCCTCTGAATTTATTCTAAGCATAAATACTGCCTCTCTCAGCCTTGGTGAGATGGAGCTGGCATGGGAAATCTCTTCCTCCGCTCTCACAGCACACACATTCTTCAGGGCATTCATTTGCTTGAAGGCATTCAGGATTCAGACATCTCTTCCACTGAACTTATCCAACAAATAAATGCTGTATCTCTTAGTGTGTGCCTGACCCATAATCCGCCCACCCCTTCCTATGACAAAGCTGCTGCTCTTCACTGTCCTTCACATAATAGAGTTTGGTTCCATGTACAGTATCTGGGAAAGGGCTGGTCCCTTCATCCAGTTTGGAAAAAGCAGTGGCTCTGCTTCTAGCACCTGCTGCCTTCTGTGCAGCACCTGAGTTAACATCAGGCAGCTACAGAATACAATGACCTCCAAATATATACAGGGAAAAGTCTGAAAAGGAGAGTATTTGAACCTTTTTATGTCAGTACAGAATGCTTCTTCCCTTACGGGCTTCTGCCAGACGGTTTGAAGCCTGTGAACGCATGGTGGAACCGAATCCATTTCACACCATTCCGCCTGTGTGAATCCTAGGGTTCCTGCAAGTTAAAGGAACACCAAAACTTCCTTTTATTGTTAGTGTAAGTAGATCTACCTCTGCAATACACAGAGAAAGGTCTGCTGAGGGTAAAATTTACATCAGCACTTTAAGGAGTACATATGCCATGCAGCCCACTCTTTTTCCAATCCCTGCTTTGAACAGAAAATACATTTGAAGTCAAACTGACAAAGAATTCGGGAGGCCTTGGCTTCAGTTTTCTGCAAATGGAAACAGATGCCTGTGAACACCTTGGAGGAGCCATCGTCAGGATCAAAAGACTCTTCCCAGGGCAGCCAGCTGAAGAGAATGGACAAATTGAAGTCGGAGACATCATTTTAGCTGTGAATGGGAAACCTATTCAAGGTCTCCTGTATCAGGTACCAGGCTACTATCAAAGGGCTTCCTGCCCAGTATTGTATTAATTAAGTTCAAAAGCAGTCTTTATAGTCACCAAAAGGGGGCAAGAACTTGCTTATAATGAGTTCGATTTTTATGTAGGATTCCTCTGTAGAATCCTTACATAGAATTTCCTTCTTAACAGAATTCTTACAGAGAATTTCTTTCATTATTTAATTTCCAGCTTTTCACTAGTGATGTACTAAATCTGCTGGCAGACTAGCACACTAGCATCTTTCTTGTTCTTACACACAATAAAAACATTTTCCCCTGTTGTCATATGTGCTCTATAATGTCATGCTAAATACCATGCCCCAGATTCTATATTCCACCATATAAGGCAAATATAACTTTTGCTGGAATGAGTCCTTCTATATTTACCCTAAGAAAATAATTCCATATCTACCTCCTTTTTACCATGTATTTACCATATTTGATTCAAGGACAAATAGGGTGCTTTGCCTATACAATTTTTTTCTTCTAGATTAAAGGTTTCATCTACCACTACAGCTGAAAATCAAATGCAATTGAATAAACACTACTTTCAGGAAGGTCTTTGATTTTTGGTTAAGTCATTAAGTCATTAAGGCAATCTGTGAAGCTGTTCTGATATAGTGGGCTAAAGATCTGTGCTTGACATGCAATTTGAATGTGTTCGTCTGACAATTCTGAGAAAAGAGAGAATTATAAAGCTAGCGGTGTATTGTTGGAACACGAGTTTTTAAACTGGATTGATTTCACCTGAGATACACATCCGCATAAGTATTATGATCTACTGAGAGACCGTTAACAGCAGTGATTTTTGGCTCTACTAAGACTAATACTGCTAAGAGGCTCTACTAGAGCTCTACTGGCTCTACTAATACTGCTAAGAGGCACAAAAACTATGAATTTAGCATTCACTTAAAACTGTCCCCAGCCCAGTTAGTAAGAAGGCACCTACTATAGATTGTGATCAAACATATTCTACCGGAACTCTAATATTCCTTCTCCCTGCCTAGGATGTCCTTCACTTGTTGAGAGGGGCGCCTCCGGAAGTGACACTTCTTCTCTGCCGACCACCGAAAGGAGTTCTTCCAGAAATAGAGCCGAGCACTCTGGTAAGACAAACTTCTACCCTGAACTTGCTTCTGTAACCCTGGAAAACTGCTCTTACTATTTGCTAGCCAGCCTTGAACGAGACTGATTTCCCCTTTCTCCAGTATTCTCTATTATATTCCTTTCTCTGCCTAGCTGCAATTTCATCTTCTCTGGAGCTCAACTGCTACTTCCTTAGCAACCACAGTAATAGGAAATGTCAGATCTGAAACACCGTGTATCCTAGTGTTCCAGCTTCTGCACTGCAGCACTGTCACTGGGAAGCAGCAGCACATACACGAGCAGATCTTCCAGAAACGCTGCTAAAATGATCCACTGGATCCTAGACCAGACACTCTCAACTGCAGCTCTCCATGCTGTAACCTGCAGGGTTGAGGAAAGGGAAATAAAGAACTTCTCCTATCCAGAAACTGCGAAGGCTGTAGAGAATAAAGCACATCCTTTCATAGTTTTGATTACAAAAGTGACATTAGGTAGGCTAGCCATTATTACACTTTGTCGTTGAGTACAACTCATGGATGTGTGCACAAGGACTCCTGTGATTAACATCTTGCTCCATGCAGAATGGCTCACTTGTGATTCCTGTTCCACCAGACTTCATAAGTGCCATCCATGGGCAGACAGAAATAATTGTCAGAATGATTTCTAGAGAATAAAACTGGCTTCTCTTGCTTTCCTACAGTTTGCCAGGTACTATTTGGGTGACTTGTCTGATTTCAATGGTTAGTTATACAGGAGTTCAGCAGTCACTTCTACACACTGAAGACAGTATAGACACAAGGTTGAGGCACAGTATGAAAAGAAATGAAAAAGAGTCTCAGCTAGTGAAGTATTTACTAAGAAAACATGAATTTGTGTGGTAGCTCCCTGCTAGAAATTCTTGAAGAATGAGGATCATCATAAAGGCAAAAGAGTTAATAACTGAGCTAGGACCTCCCTCTATTTCTTCCTTCTTTCCAGGTACTGTTTTAAGATGCCTCTGTTAATATCTTCCTTAAAGATGTCTTTAAAGATGTCTTCTTCTTTAGTTCTTAAAGGAAGGAAGATGTGAAAGATTAAGTTCCTAAAAAAAAAAAAAAAAAAAAAAAAAAAAGAAGCAATCATACTAATGCTTCTATTATTTCGATAATTTTGATAGACTCCAGCACCATCTCCAATTAAGGAATTTGTGGCCACTCCAGAGATAGGATATAGTATGGATCAATCTACTAGTGATGGCGGTAGCACCTCTCCAGAACTGGAAGACTGCCTGGATTCTCCAGGGGCAGCAGATTTCAGCGAGCCGCAGGAAGAGGACAGCTCGGCTAATGAGGAGCAAGAAGCAGAGGCTCAACAGAAGCCTGCACAGACCCTTACGCCTCCCAGGGAAAGCTGCTACAGGCACCTTTGGAAGTTTCAGCAAGATGCTGCCAGTGCTGAAATGTTCCAGTCCCTAGAGGAAGAGGTGAGGCAGAATTGCTGCTCCCCACAAGAATTTGGATGGGCCAAAAGGTAAGAAATACTGAACTCTGCTCTTTCCTGTGGATCTCAGATTTCTGAAGGCGGATTGCTAAGATTTAAATACAGAACTGTCTGCTTCTAACTACTCCTAATTACTGAACATTTTGATTTACTAGCCTTTTCTGGCCAGCCTAACCACTGTCTCTATTTACTCGCATTGAAATTGAGCAAAAATATGCATTAAAAGACATTTGTATGAACACTCCATTACTGCAAGCAACTTTACTGTTCACCTGAGTCCGGCTGCAGTCTGAAATTAGTGGAAAGACTCATGCTGACTTTAATAGACATCAAGCATTTCCTACTTATTATATGATCTTTTGATTTCAAAAATTTCAGAGGAAAAATAAATGATAAAACGAGCTGTGATCAAAGAGGAAAAAAAAATCTGGCTCTCAGAAACCAGTAGAAGCTTCGAGCCAGACACATTATACAATAAAATATATTACAGAGACTCAGCCTCCTTTTACACTCTGTGGAAAACATCAGTCACTGGACAACAGCAGACCTCCCCATTCCATTTTGATGATCTTTCTTATCATTGTTTTCAGAACAGAAAGGGCTGGTAGACAGACAAGGTAAAGCTCTTCCTTGAGGAAGGACCAATTTCACTTATTGCTTTAATAATTTTCTCCAGAAACTTATTTCTATTTCTCCCCTAGTCACCTGAAACCCCTTTGTGACTGCTGACATTCTCCAGCACAACAATCAGCTAGTCGTGGATCCCGGTCTCTGGGGAGCCACCAAGCTCGGTGGCAGCAAGTCAATGGGAGCACAACTGCCTCCTCCTTCCACACGTGCCTCTCTACTGCTGTGACTAAAACCCGCAGAAGTGTGTCCATAGCAAGCATGCTTGCTAATGGGTACCGCCTCACCAAAACTGAGTTTCTGTAGGAAAATACCAGTACCAAGAAAAAATTTGGATTCTTCCCAAGAAGTTCTGAAATAAATGTTTTTGTCTGGCATATTGTCAGTATAATTTAATTTCAGTTTTTGCATTTTCAAAAGGCAGTTTCACGAAATACGCATTTGAAATAGTATTTTGATGTCATCGCATCTCAAATGATCCTTCTGGTTAGAATAGGTAAATAAATAAAAGCCGAAGGCAATAGGCGTTAATCAAAAAAATACCCTTTTACTTTCCTTCAGATTGTCAAAACTCATGCAAATATAGAAATCTTCTGATATAAATTTCAAAAAAAATGTATTCAGTGTTTTATAACCCTCTTTGCCCTTTTGCTCATTGTGACCAAAAAGAAATTTAAGAAAACATGGATTTGATAATGTTACCCCATAAGAAGTCCTGGGAATGGGTATACGAGGGAAGTGCTCCTATAGGAGTCACCGGACCAGGTCCTCGTGGAGCTTGGGCAGGGGCCCAGAGGACCAAGACTCACATCTTCCCTCTGGTGACGTAGAGCTGGGCTGGAAGCTGCCATCTGTGCTGTGAAGAAGCCACTGTTTGGCTCGTTGCCTGGAGGCAGTGCAGGTTTGCCCAGCACCTCTCATACCCTGCAAGGCTGCTCATCACTTCCCTGGCATGGGATCGTTTCTGTGACATCCTCACTACAGGAGGTCCGCTGACCTGCCCTTTTATTTTCCCTTGTCTTCTGAAGAAAATAATAAACTGCATTTCCTGTTATTCTTAAACATTTCATTTAACCATCCTCATCCTCTTTCAGAGCAAGTATCTGTTGTCCTGCTTAGCAATATTTAAACTGAGATTGATGTGATGCAAACATACTCTTATCAGTAAAAATCTTTCAAGCATTTCCATTAGCTTTAATGGTAAGTTTAACGGCTATAATAATAACAATTAACTAAAGACAATGGCCAAAACATAACATTAAACAGAACGCATGATCACATGGTCTGGACTTGAACTTCAGAAATGCTGAACACTGTCTCCAATATAGTCAGATAAGTTTAATAATGATTTTACTGTAAGGGAACAAATCCTTTGATTTCAACAGGACAACTCCAATGCTCCTAAATAAGCATATGTTTTCACGTGCTGTTTACCTAGCATCAAATTGAAAGCATAGTAATGCAGATAAGGATACTAGAAAAGCAGACTTATGTACATGGAAGCCAGCTTTTATGAAAACTGGGAAGGAAAAATTAGGATCCCCTAAACAAGTGGCTTAGATGTCTAGAAAACTGAGTTTCAGCTGTTCTCACCTGGGATCAATATATACCTTGCCATTATGGAGTGCATATGGTCTTTGTATTTGTAGTTTATTTGTTTTTTTAAAGGAATATTAAGAGAAGAGTATAATACAAGCAGCCTTCCAAGGGAATTTAAGACTTGAAATATTAAACAATCTCTGTCTCTGATAACATACATTTTGTGATCTGTGCTCTAGTTACCATGGAAAGAACGATAGCAGCCAGGAATGTGGCTGGCTTCCCTTTTATCAAGAAGAAAAAGGCAATTATGAAAACGGAAGAAATATTTTAATGTTCATACCACTTACCAGATAAGTTAATTAAGTTGTTTATGGCAGATGGAAGAATTTAGCAGTCTAAGAATTGTCCGATTATTCTTTTCAAATAACAACAAACTACTAATGCCTTAAAAAAAGTATGAAACACATTGCAAAGGCTTTTCAAATTCTGAAATCTTTTTATCTTTTGACTAGCGTTCAAAAATACTACTTTTAAATTTATTTTACAGTAACACTGAGAAGATTGAATCAGCAGCTTAATACCATAACTATTGCTTTGGTTAAAATTGAAGGTAGTGCATAAACAGTAGAGATTTCAGCAGGCAGGCAGTAAAGCATATGGAAGGAAAGCCCAGCCCTGCAATCTTTTTATTTTGCAGCCCTGTATTTAATAAGAGTGATGATGACCTATCCAAAACAAATCGCATGCCTGAAATTCTCTCTCTAACCCCTATTGATGAAGAGTGTCTCACCATCAGCTCAACACCTGAGACCTTGCTTTCCCGGGGAGGAAGCACTGAGACACTGTCCTCAACCACAGTCACCCCACAGCCCCGTGGCCCTTTCCCATCCTCCCGACCTGCTGGAGCGCCAGGTGACAGTGACAACGAATGGGAAGAGTTGGAGGAACTGGAGGAGGAGGAGAATGCAGAGGAGGAGGATGGCTCTCGGGTATGTAGACAGGCACCAGATTATAAATAGGTCACTCAAATGGGAGAAGAAACAACCCAAATATGACAGTTCTTAGAAACATTAATTATAATCCATAATTATGTCTAATTTCTGCTGTCTAATTTCTGCACAGCTTTTCTTATTTTCCTGAAAAGTCCACCCTGGAAGTAAAGCAGACCTTACTCTATGCCCAACCCTCCAGAACTCATTACCATTTCCCCTAAAGTCACCTCCTTTTGGAGCTTTGACCATCTTGATATTTCTTCAACTCTCTAGCACTCTGCAGTCTTATTCACAGCACATATAGGCCTAAAGCACATACTGCTCTCTAGTAACCTCTGAAATTTATTGACATCAGCTGCTTGGTTTTTTTTTATATTTTAAACCTATATGCAAAATCACGCTGTTAAAATTATACTATTGTAATGTCCTCACGAGAAAGTAGGATCCCTGTACTAATTACAATTCAAAACATAGGGCTCAGTCCTGCCAAAAGCTGAATATTTTCCATTTCTGCTGCACTAATGAGACCTCAATTTCTACTAATGTGGGAGCACCGAGGGCAAAATTTATGTCCTGACCATCTCCCCCAGTGGAAAAGCAGTAGCAATAACACCACCGCTTTTATTGTGACACTTGTCAGCCTGGAAGACCCCAAAACTTTCTCTATACATTTTAAATGTCCCAGATGGTTCTCTGTGCCCTTGCTAGGCCCTATCAATCAATCAATCACCTTGAAGGTCCACTAGGTATTAGGAAGTCAAATGAATTCAGGAATTACTGGAGTAAAAATTCAGAAAGATCCTTACATATGCTGCTGCTTTGTACCATGTGCAGATCTGGCTCCAATTTGCATATAAAACATGATGAAAGCTGCTAATAAAGCAACAGAGAAACCTATAAGAAACACATCTTTCTCTTCACTTAATAGGAAATGGAGGTCTTTGTGACTCTGCAGAGGTCAGAGAACGGTGGTTATGGATTCTCAGTGGTTTTCAACAAACGAGACAACTGCCTGTATGTTGATGAGATCTTGAATGATCCTGCCCTGTCTGATGGAAGGCTGAGAAGGGGAGACAGAATCATTATGGTACAGTAATGCTTTGAATTTAAAAGGAGGCAAAATTTTGGCAGATCAATGCCTCCTGACTTAAATATTTCTATTTTTATCATTGTAGGATCTAGCTTATCACATGCTATGCATGCAAGCACAAATGAATCATTCTACTGATTTCAGTAGGATAAATTTCAGCTTGAATGGCTTGTGTGCCTAGGAATACAACAGGGATCTAGCAACAATGCAAGACAACTGACATAGTAAATGACTTCCCACTTAAATAAGTTGAATTAATGCAATAAGATAGATGACCTAAAAGGATGCAGGAATTTGCATGCTTTACAGGATGCAAAGGGTCCTTTGCAACATATGAACAAAACCTATTTTAAGGTTCACTTTCAGTTTGTTTCATCAAGACTTATTTTTGGCTATGGGATTTTAAAATTCAAGAAAAAAAGGTATGCTTTTATGCAAACAGCATACTCAGGAAAACAAAATGCAAATGTAATCTTATTGTACTCTTGACTTTTGCATTCCCTGTCATTAACTGCCATAGAAAAGTAATCACATAAAAGCGAAAACTACTTTTAAGTTCACATGTATATCTTTGCAGAACATGTTGGGTAGAAGTATATGGTGGTCAATGACATTTATGACATGACTTTCATGGTTTGTTGTTTAGGTGAATGGAGTTGATGTCACACTATTACCATGCAGTGAAGTCCTGGCTTTACTGCACAGCTCTCCTCCTGATCTGCACCTTGTGGTTGGCCGTGCTGATAATGATCCATGTCCCTCCATTAGACCAGATGAGATTCCTGAAATTACCCTTACAAAAGGTGCCAATGGACAACTAGGTGTGTGGTAAATATGCATTTTTTTTCTTGAATAGGGACTGTCACTGGAGCTATGCATACACTGTGCAGTAGAGGCCATGTGAGAGGTCCCCACAGGATGAATATCTTGGTATTCCTACACAACACCGCAAGTGCTGGCACAGATAAAATTGTATACCCAAGAAATAGTATAGCTGTAGTAACAGTACAGCAATAATAACAGCACAGCCACCTGTTTCTGTTTGAGACACGAGCTTGCTTGGAGATAGCATGAGTAGCACTGCACAGTACTGCTCCGTGCAGTACAGCTACCTCCTTAGCTTTCCTGAACAATGGAATTAATATCATTTTCCTACATTAAAGGTGTCTGAGGAGAAATACTCTTAAAAAGAGTATAAGGCACTTAGACACCGTAGTAATGCGAGAGGGCCTTCTAGGCAAGTAGGAGCCCTTTCCAAGTGGCTGTTCAACAGCAGGTGAGATAAAGTGCTATGAAATAGCTGCAATGTTTGGATGGACGGTACTGTTTAAGTTTTTTTTATTTGTCTGCATTCCTCTAGGCTTGAAACTGACAGGAGGAGCTGGAAGCAAGCTGCAAGGTATTTATGTGCTGGAGATAGTGCCTGGCTCTCCGGCCAGCATGGAAGGCAGCCTGCAGCCCCGGGACCAGATTCTCTACATCTGTGGCCTGTGGACTGAGGGCATCAGCCTGGATGATGCTGTGAGAGTGTGTGAAGCTGCCACCCAGAGCGTCCGCATCAGAGCAACAAGGTAAATCTGCCTCCTGGGGCCTTTTAGAAAGGAAAAGGGTAAGGATTAAAAAAATAATAATAATAAAATAAAAGTATGTAACTTTAAGTTTAGGGTGGAATCAGATCATAGGGAATCTCAATCCTAACTCTAAGTTCTCTAACTTTCATATCGACAGGTCAAACAAGAAAAACAGGGCAAACAAGAAAAATTTTGTACTGCAAGGGTCCAGAGGTTGTGACCTGATGGGTAGCATCCACAAGGCACCTTATCTCCTCGTAATTATAGCAAGCACACAAGGGTATGGGGATAGGTGCACTGCAGCAAGTACATTGAAGCTTCATCCTGCATCATCCAAACACAAATGCAGATCTGGTAACTACAAGGCAAGCCACTATTTTCAGTTATCCTGTTCCCTAGGAACGGGAAATCCTCTGCTTTGTATTTCTACCTCTAGTTCCAAACACCTCCATATGCTTTTAGATTCACAACTATAGGCAAGCAACTACGTCTCTCTGGAAACTGAGGTATTTCCAGCAGCCATCATTAGAGAAAAGTGTTGAAATGCACATTTCATCTGCAGCACATAAAACAAAGTTCATCCCCAGGTTGATTACTACCTACAATTAAGAATTTCCCTCTGCACTTCTTGACTGTACTTTATTTTTATTCTGTTTCACAGTCTAATAGAGTATCAGCAGAGGTTCTGATACAGAGAAATAGTTTCTGCAGATCTTACACAAACAGTCAAACGGTAATGCAACAGCATACAAATGGCTAAATTACATAACCAGAGTTAGTGATAATGTCAGAGCAAGCTTAAAGTAGTTCAACAAACTTTTATCAGTGTTTTATTAACTGCTGGCACTGTGGAGCAGCTGGAGGAACTGCAGCCTCCTTATGCTTATCCTTATTGCTGTATAAGCACTTAGTAGACAACAGACCCGGATCTTAAGAATTTGCAATACAAGGAGACAAACAGAAAACGAGTAAAGCAAATTACAAATTCTTATTCACATTTAAGAGAGGGGAAACTGAAGCTGAATTCAACAAAATAGACTACAATGTAGTTTTGTGCTAGGACAGATGGTGTAAAGTGTTCTTTCTTCTCAAATTCATTTAAATAAAATGTATTATTGGTGGTAAAAATAAATATTTCATATATCGATATATTGATATAACTGCACTTTAAAATAACATAATTAAGAATAAAAATAATGGAAGTACAACTATGCTTTTTAAAAGTAGTTTTTGTATGTGCTTTATAAACCATGCAAGTCTTAATGGTCCAAATACTTGACTTTTTTCTGTCCCCAGAAATGGCAATCCAGTTGTTCCCATAGAGCAAGAAAATAGTAAGTAATGCTAATATTTTTATTCTTGAATTCAAACTTGCTTCTCATTTTGGAAATAAATGCATGATATTGATTTGTTACATGTAAAAATTTACTAGCAGACTACAACTTGGCATTTGGCATTTCTGTTGCAATAAAGGTCTGCAAAAATTATCTAGATCTTTACAGATAGAAAATGTGGAATGCTTTAAAAAAAGTTTACTTAATTTTACCCAATTACACCTTTCATAGTCAGTTGCCCTTTTTTTAATCTGCTGCTACTAAATGGGAGTGAGCATATTTTCAAGGTCTGTACTGATTAAAACTAATCCGCAAGGGATATTTTTTTAATGCTTTTGAATCACAGTTTAATATGACACCACTACTTGATCACCTAGGCCAAATTGTTAAACTGGTATCAACACATCTATAGAAAATCACAGGCAATATCAATATTTCTTAATTAAAATAGCATTGCTATCAATACTCAAGTGTGTGCTTGCACATACATATGTGTGTATATATATATATATATGCATATGTACACACAAACACATATTTCTCAAGACACTTCCAAAACAGGTTGCCAGTCACCATCCACCTCTGATACAATTTTATTAATAGCACAATGGTTCAGTTCCCTGCCTCTCTTTCTCATTTATAATAAAGAATTATTGCCTTTACAAATTACTTCAAAAATTTATTGTAGTTTGTTTGGTACTGCTCTCTTTGCTATTAACTCTGATAGATTTATCTAAAAATCTGTAAAAAAGATGCCCATTACAGAGGCATGCTTTCACTTTGCATATTCTCTTAGTTACAAAAACGTAAATTAAAAGCGCAGCTATAACAAGGAGGTGTTTTTTTATATGCTAACTATAGAATATTCAGTTTTCTATAATTCATAGATTAAAAGTTCTTTGTGAAAGATAACTAAGATTACCAAAAATGATGAAGCAAATCTCAAAACTGGAAAAAGAAAAAAAAGCATTTTGCTTCTTACACATCCATCCCTGTGAACACTAATGCACCCCATTTCTTCCCCTATTTAACTGATGCCTCATGTCTATAAGGACTCAATCTGGCTTTTGATTGTTGTCATAATTTTAAAAAACACCAGTGATTGAGATGCAAATATCTCTGCAGTTCATGAAATAATTGTTTATATTGATGTGCAAATAGGGAAACTTAATCATGCGACAGTGTCTCGTACTGCTTCATATAGTGTCTGTACTGGGCATGAGTTGGGAATACATGACCCTTGGTGCTTTGCTTTATAATCTAAGAATACCAAGTTTAAGTTCCCTTGGGTATATGTAGCTTAGTGCAGCTGTCAGCTATAGTAGCTCAGTGCAGCTACGAAGTGTAGCTAAGTGTACTTTAGTGTAGTCTGTCAGTTAAAACCTGCCTAAACATATGTTTTTAGGGCCACCTGTGGAGACAGAGGAAGACAATGTCTCTTTCTCAAATGAAAATCTGAATCCACAAGAAGAGCATCTACCTGATCAGCATGGTAAGAAGTTTATTTTGCATTTTTGAAATAGCTTCTGTTAAATTTTGTGTCATCTCTTCAAAAGAAAAGAATGTCTGCAGGTGGTACTGCCAGTTCATAGAAAAGATTAATCATTAGTAAACAAAACTGCCTTCCTTGATGTATCACAGAACATTCATATGTTACCTATTGTCCAGCTGGTGTTGTTGATCCTAATTTTGGAAACTGATTTTTTAAAAGTATAAGGTCAAATAACATGCAGAAAGCTCAGCTCATAGTTTCATGGTCCAGAAGTGTAATAGGCTAAAGAACATATATGATCCCAAGATCTTTTTGCATTTTTTAAAATGTCAAATATTAAATATTTGATGTCTCTAAATATTATGCTACAATATAAAACATTTTTCTGGTACACCTGTGTAAAAACTCATGCTGCTTTTTCACAGAGAAACATTTGGAGGAAGCAAATTCTGGTGATGATCAAAACGCTTCTGATTCCTCAGAGCATAAAGTAAGTGACAGTCTAATCAACTGTGAGATGACCCATCAACTAAAGTGATCTAGATGGATCAGCAGTAGTATTTAATTAGCTTTAGTAGTAAATGTATTAGAATTGAATATATTTCCTTCCTTTTTGGAAATGTGGACAGAACACATTTGTGGGGTGTCTTTCCACGTTTGGAATTGGCTCTGCATTCATCGACTAGAACATACTGAGCAATTTCTAGGGTCAGACTATCCTACTGCTGTTTTCAGTGTATAATATCACTATCTTATCAGCTTGGTAATATAACCAAGACTCATACAACCTAACTCCTCACCTAAGTCTTAATGTTCCTCTGAAGAGCTTAAAAAATTAAGCCCCAACTTACAAAGAAAGCAGTAAAGAAAACATAAAGCCTAAGGCATAATGGCACAGAATCAGATTCTAGAAAAAAATAAGTGTAATTGCAGTTACATTTTCATAACAAAGTCAAAAAAAAATCCTTGAAACCTGTGATATATATATTTCTTTACAAAATTCTCAGATGGGACATTTGAAGAAAGGGTAAAATGATTCCAAAACTTCACAGTAATACACAATGTTGACATAAATCAACATGGTTTGAATTTACAATTACTATTGAGTGATGGTATTTTTGAAGTGATGGATTCCTAAAATACACAATACTATTTTTCAAAAAAGGCAGCTTTCACAGTCAACATACAATTCAAGCTTCTTACAGGTGCAAAAATTTCATTCATTTGTAAATGAACAGGTGCGAATATATGGAAAAGAATATTACATCAAATTGAAACTTCATGACAACAAATTTCCTATGTAGCATTTCCCTTTTGAGATATACACATAGCTGCTCTGTTAATCACTGGAAGCTCTACATGTCTGTTCAAGAGAAGGAAGTATCCTATATTTTACATCAGCCAATGAGGACTGTGAAGCACACTGGGATTTGGGGGGAATTAAAAATACAAATAAAACACAGCCCTGAATAAACTCCACTTTCAACTGTGTCCTTTGTGTTCTAGGACTTTATCATTAAGATTGAGTTGGAAAAAGCAGAAAATGGGAGCCTAGGATTTGCACTGGTAGGTGGAAGAAATGGCAGGGCTATCCTAATAAAAGCCATCAGCCCAGACAGCATTGCAGATCTAGATGGGAGGCTTCAAGTTGGTGACATCTTGCTGAAGGTAATGTTTGTTCTTCATTGTTTTGGCCCATCTTTAACTACTGTGGCTCTGCAGTGAGCGCTCTGTTCACTATGGAGGCTGTACAGACTAAAGATATGAGGCTGCTTGACCCAGTGACATGTAGAAGAGAGGGTCCCTAGACTCTTGGCGGTGAGAATGGTGTTCTGGGAGACTTCTGTTGTCCTGCATTTTTTGTGGAAATTTTCCACATGGGAATCAGGGAAGTGAAAGTTAGCTGACTGCAACATGTATACAACAGCAGACCAGTAGGACAATGGCAGTGATGCTACCAGCTAGGTAGTATCAAGACAGTCAAAAGGCACAGGGATTAGGGCTTTTGAAGCTTTATTTGTAATCTCGTTGTCCTAGCAACCTTTTAATGGCAAATCATCTTTCGTACCCCATGTTATTTTTTCTTTTCTCCTATCTCCCCTTCAAGAAGTTCAATATTTTACTGTTTTGTCTTCTATTTTTCATTTGCTTCCTTGTCTCCTACTTGTGACATCTGAGGAGTGGAGGGAAATGATGCCCTCCTAATGTGCCAGAAAGCACAGACTATACTTCTGTAGTGCACTGCTGGCAATCATGGCATTAAAACATAGAGCAGGAAGGATCAAGCGAATTACTAAGAGGGAAGAGACTGAGAGGAATCGCAGAGAAGTACAACATATGCTTAGTGCTATGTAATAGCCTTCTGCTACAAGAATCTGGAGCTGCCTGTCATTGTGTTTTCCAGGTGAATGAGACGTTAGTGTCTGGTCTGCCACGTCAAACTGTTATAGATCTGCTACGCAAGGCCCGAGGCACCGTTCAGCTCACGGTCTGCCGGAGCATGGCTCTGCGTTGGGCTTATTCAGGCAACCAGAGCAACAGCACACCTTCCCCCCAGGCCACACCAGCACAGCCTGGTAAGCAGCTGCCTCCACTCAGTACGTGTTGAAAGGGGGATCACATGATGCCTGGCCTCCATTTTCCTATCAGCAAAACAATTTAATTTCCCTAACTTTACCATCATTTCTAATTCATAGCTGTTAAGGCAAGCAATTTTTCATCCTGCTTTGCAGCACTAACCATGTAAGACACAGAGCACAGGGAATGCCCGAAGTGTTCGAACTGTGGAGACAAGGTGGTGGGACCTTCACAGACACCTTAACTTGTGTTTTTAGCCCATGATGATTCCTGGCCTGCATCAAGTCACCCAGTTCTGTAGAATTTACTAGTAAAAACCACAACCACTTCCTGACCCAGCAGCTAAAATCCATTTCCCTTACCTCCTTGGAGCACTGCGACCTGTAATCTTCCTGAACCAAGAGCTCCTCTCCCTTCCATAACTGCTCATGCTCCAGCCTAGGCCCCATCTCCCAGGCCGATTGCTGTGAGTGCCACAGTGCACCCACCTACACGGGCAGTGCTTGGAGAGCTGACGAACTCTGAGGAAAGCAGCATATGTTGCAGTCTTTATTCTGCTGAATACTCACAATTCAAATATTTATTAAATCTGGAAGTGGAAACAGGGGCAGATTATTCTGAGGGCAGATTATTACCAAAAACATTATGGATTTATAGTCCTCAACATTCTACTCTTTGGAATACTTATTTCCTACCACATGGAAACGCTTCAATTCTCTCTTCAAGAAGAGAGATTTCCTCCTTAAAATACCTCTGGCCTACCTGTTAGAAACTGGGAGCTGTGATTCAGATCTCCTTGGGCAGAAGTTGCAGCCATTGCGATCTGTTTTCTCCCCAGCTGACTGGGTAGCACAGCTGATGATGGGTTTTGGACATATTTAATAGCAAACATTTATGCATCTAGTCCACTCTACTGCTGCAAACCTTCCTGCCCAACTATTCCAGGTGATTCCATAGTTAGGTAGGAGCTGACTGTAGGGTTCAAGGATCTCACTTTTCGGGCTTCAGTGTTTCACTCTGACACTGCACCTAGTTCTCTTATCTCCCAGCCTGCGCAATGAATACTGGAGAGCCCTTTGCTTTGCTCAAGCGCAGGGTTCTTCCAAAAGAAGAGATGTACAAACTGGTCTGGGAGAGATGCCGAGGTGCCGAGAAGGTGGTCATGAAGAGCTGGGGGAAGGTGCTAGGAGCACAGGACAGCTGGGGGTTCTGGTAAACAAATTAGGACATGAGAAACAGCCAGAAAAGGCCATGTCCTTGGGGTTACCTTGATGAATCTGGAGTAGTGAAAGGGAGCAGCATATTTATTTTTTCCTCTTTCTTTCTCAGTGATTTTCAATTGACTTTTCAACCAATCTTTTATTTCTGTAAGGCTGAAGGAACTGTGTTCAGCTCTGGTTGGGAAGGAGAAGGTTTGCTTCCCCATCCCAGCTCCCATTTAATTTTTTGGATAAATGAGGCAGAAGAGGAAAGGCAGCCACGTATAAAAAGAATGACTGAAGTTCTGGCTCCACTGAAGGGTTTGGCAAAACACCCACCAGCTTTGGGGAGACCAGGCTTCCCACCCGGTGGCAAATTTGAGGGACTAGTGGAAGGACATTTATTTGATTGTTGCATGATGTTGGTGAATTAGAGAGTTGCTGGGGAGTTCCATCTGATTTCCTGAATCCATAAAACACCCAGTGTAATTAAGGGAGGATTGGCATCAAAGGAAAGCTCTGCTATTTGTCTCTCATCACTGTAGAGGAGCAGTCTGGGTTTGGAAGCGGAGATTTAAATTCTATTAGGGATCATTTTACAACCCCTACTGATGCAGGCATCTACTTCAGGGAATCTTCTTGCTACCCAAATTACATTGGTTTCCTAAAGGGCGATATATGCCAGCTGTGCTTTTCAGCCCCTCCTACAGCAACCAGGGAAGGAACATTTTCGTTCAGTTTCTGTTTCTGTACCTCAGTTCCTCTTCTGAGACCAAAGTCCCTTGCACAGGCTACTCAGAAGAAATGGAACTATATTTTCATGCTTTTGAGCATGATTACTTACTTTGTTTTTTTTTTTTTTTCATATTCAGACGACCCCAGTACTGAGGGAAACACAGGAGCTCGGCCTGTTTCCGCTTTCAAAGAAGAGGAGGAATGTGGCCAGATGGGCAGTCAGGTAAGCACTGGATCGGGCTTCCAGGTGTTACCGGGCTCTGCACTCGTGCTTGTTGAAAGAGAGGGTTTGGCGCAATGCAGGCAAGTGAATTTAGAGTCCACCTTGTCAATGGAAAAGGATAAACTTGAGGGAAGTGTGCTGCAGTCCCTGGAGCTGGTAACATTCGAATGAGTCAGGGATTCCACTGAGATAAGAGCTTATGATTAGCCTAATATCTGTGCTGAATGAGAGGGTAAAGGAAAGTTGCACAAGCAATCCTAGTTTTAGTGCTATATAATTTTGGAATGAATGATTCGTCATTTAAATCATTCTTTTAGTATTTTAAAACATAGTATACTTCAGAGGAATGCTATTCACCTGTCTTCCTCTTAATATTCATAACTCTAAGGCTATTATCTGTCTTTCAATTGGGTTATGTTTTTAAATCTTGGCAAGTCCTCCAAAACATTCCACATTCAAGTTTCACAGCATCTGTCTTTTCTGAGTAATACAGCTGTAAAACTTCTTCTCAGAAAATGTGATAAATATAAGCCTCTCTAATCTCCAGAGCTAAAAGGTGCCCCAAACCCTGCCTCAAGCAATTTTAATGAAACTAAAGGGAAAATGGAGGAAATCCTTGTACTGAATAAGCTAGGAAAACCTTTAAGAGGAATCTAATGAGAAAGTTTTTAGTGCGTAATTAGAATAAGTATTGGAAATAAACTGCTAGAGACTGGTAAAATAAGTATCAAAACTAGGTTATGTCTATGATCTAATAAAAAATGACGAAGAAATAAGATTAATGAGAAGTGGGAGTTTCTGCTAAGGTTACAGGTTCCTGATTAGACCTCAGTGCTAGCAAGGTATTAATTACCTGTCTATCTGGACCAGAAAAGGATATGCCTAACTTTAGGCTCATGCTTAAATTTTTGCTGAATTGATTCCTTAGAAGTCTCTGTTCTTCATTACTTTCAGCTTGCCTTTAGCACCATCTTCTATGAATAAGAACTATTTCCACTCCACTCCAAACATGGAGTCTTTGAAAATAAGCTACCAAATAAAAATAAAAAAGAACAGATACATAAAAGCAACAAAAACCCATATATCATTCTCCAGTCAGTGTGGTCCGTATATGCTGAAACTGGATAAATGAATTTGTGGTTAAATATGCACACACAGATTTCTCTATTCTAATGGAGAAATATTAAGATGAAAGGTAGAAAATAAGGTACAAGTGACAGCTACTATAAAGATTCTTTGGAGCATTCAGTAGTTTATACTGTGTAACATGCTAGAGTGGATTTCTGAGTGCATCTGAATTCTTAAGCGGGGAAAGAAGACAATCAAGAATCCCAGTCTAAACTAAAATTTAAATAATTGTCTGTCAAGTGTTACAGTTCAGGAGAGGCCACTTCCATACACTGAACACAGATGTTCTGCATCATAATCTAAATGCAGAATCCAGTTGTCATTGTCTAGGACTGAAAAACAGCCACCAGTGCTACTGCCTCTACTCCACCTGGAGGGCAACTGAGCGTCTGCCTCCTCTGTGGAGGTTTTCTTCTGCAGAGCAGCTGCAGACTGCTTGTAACAGCTGGCATCCTTGTGCCTGGGATAAAAAAGGAAACTATTGCCAGCAGTTATGGCTCTGGTGCTTTCTGCTGCAGGTAAAGAGCAGACTGTGGATCATGACTCCTGTGTCTGCACTTTCTTTATGAGATCAGCAAGAACATAATTAACACCAACCTTTTCCAAGTTCATCCAGGCATGCCAACGTTTACAGAGGCTTCGGAAGACCACGTTGTTATGGAGCTCACAGAAACAGCTGCTGGGGCTTTACACACGTCCTGCAATGCTGAATCAATTATGTACTTTCTCCTGAAAGTGGAAATTATACTTTCTTTCTTCTCTTTCTTTCCTTTGTTTTTGGGGTGAAGGACACATTTTTGGTAGATAGTAAGAATACTGATTAAAGTAACTATATTATTTATGTTCCTTTTTTACTATTTTTTTCCCCACACATTTTTATTATTTTATATCTACAGGATTCCAAAAGTAGACACAGTTCCCTTCTGCAAAGTCAGCTGGCTGGACCAGAATATCCAGATATTGCCACCAAGAATTCAGATAGGTAAGTCCTTCGGACACGGGAAAAATTCATGAAATATGATTGGATAGGATACCAGTATAGATAGGTTATTCTTTTATTTCCAGACATCTCCCTGTATGATGTGCAAACGCACTCAGATGTCTCAAATTATTTAAACACAGTTCTATCAAAATGCAGTTCTGTCTGCAGAAAGAGCTGCCAAACAGCTTTAATGCAACAACTAAGAGATGTGATAAAAACTCTTAAGCATATCTGTATACAAATTCCCTTGTTTTCTTAATGGTCTTACTAGCCTCATTCTCTGGGTCACTACCAGCATTTTGCTCCCACTAATGCCACTTGTAGGGTTAACTTCTAGTCTGGAACTTACCAGGCTAGAACTATAAACTTACCTGGAAATCTTCCCTAACTTAGTTGCATAGAGAGTTTGAAAGAAGCCGTGGGAGCATTTGGAAGTGAGAACATCCACATGAACGTGGGCTTAGTGCCACTAGCTATTTTCTCATCACTAATGCAAAATTATCTTCATCTATACCAGATAATCAGGTATGATTATTATTAAATTATCTTGTTCTATTTGAGATAAACAAATGTATCTATTGCTAATACTAAGTTTTCTTATCGTATGTAAGGATAAGTATATTTCCTGGTAGTTTTTGCAGTTAGGCTTGCTTTATGACCCCCATCCTGCAAACTGAATATTTTTAATTTCAGTATTTTTCTCATAGTTCTACTTTCTACTTGAAAAAGCTCTAGCTAGCCTAGACTTGTACAACCTTCAGCAGTTACTGGCATTTGCCAAGCTTCTGCTTGCACCCTTCTCTTACTCTCCCTCTTAAGAATATATTTTTTCTATCTCTTGCATTATGTATTATAATTAACCCGACATAGCATAGGATTATATAAGACTGTAATACACTCAAGCCTCCAAAAAGACTTAAGCGCAGATGTTAGCTGTGAAGGGTATTGGACTTGGCTAGTACAGGCATATCTGACCCATTCTGCACACATTATAGTTGTATTCTGGACTGCAGACCTACCTTCTACTGAAAACATATTTGAAGACTCTATAATATTCTAAATATTTCAGGCAACATTAGTTGGGCCTATTTAGCTATGATCATCTCATTTTTTTTATATATATAATCCTGTTTTTCAATTATTTTTAATCAGACAAATTTTACTTTAAATGCAGTTTTCGGCACCTTTTTGTGTAAACCATCTTCTCAGCTCTTTGAAAAAATGTTCTATACAAACAATACATAATTTTATTATGTTTGCAAATACTACCCCAGAGAAAAAGATAAAATTAATCCTTGAGCTTATGTTCTTCCAAGTTCACAACAATTCTTGAAAACAATTGTTCAAGAAAATAGAAAGCAATTGAAAAAAGAAGATTAAAACCAAAACCCTTGGACAGGCCAGATTTATACTAATTATGCCACTTTCAGCATAATCATTCATCTAACCTTGTTTTGCAGATGTGCAGGATGTAAAAGCTGTGCAAGAAAAGAAGGTCAGCAGTCAGAATCGGACAGTGGGACCAATGAAGAGAATGATACATCCTGGAGGATTTCCTTTCTACACAGAAGTATATTTGCAAAAACTTATTTCCCTAATGTAACAGGCCAGTCCCTCAGTACACATACAGTGAGATGAACACTAACCCCTTGTCTACAAGTAAAGAATCTGGTCTTTATGTCTTACTGTGGCCATGTGGAAGAACTTACAGTGGCTATTCCTCGCAGTGCGGTGTGACAATACTAATTTTTAGGAAACTGTTGGAATCATGAAGGTGATTGACTACAAAGATGTGGTGAGAGTCTCCTAAATAGATTAATGTTAAAGCTTAAAATTCTGTAAGAACATTTCATTTAGAGGAGACCATTCTGAACCTAGGTAAGGACAGAAGTTCCAACAATTTGATCCATTTTCAAATCCCAAGAAACTTGGTGCTGTCTGGGTACATGGTACTGAGTTATTCTGCTTTCCACTGTGAGCCTAACGAAGCCCCAGATATCTTCTCCGTTTCACTGCCACAGTATAAGTAAAAAAATTGTACTGAAGTACTACAGTTTTTCTTAAAGCCAAAGCTATATTCTATGAATAAAATTAAAAATTCTTCTGTTCTTTTTGTTAATGCACAGGCAGAACGTTTGTTTCTGAAGATGGACCAGCTCAGTTAATTAACTTTAAACCCTCACTGGCGGGAGTAGGTTCAAGGACTGGCATCAAAGGTCTTATTCAAGGTCTTCAGCTGCAAATTGAGAACCAAGAGGTCTTTAAAGAGTTTATGGTAAAATGTGATTTCTTTTTAAGAACTGAGTATTTAGCGAAGCTAGGAAAGTGATTTTTGTTAGCCTTCCATTTTTATGGGAGATCTGTTTGTCTATCTACACTGATTCTACCTTTCCAGAGAATTATTCCAGCCAGAATGAGGCTTCTGCTCTGTGCTTTTTAGTGGATGTTACATTTGGATCTCTCTCTTTACACACAGGTCAGGCTTGCGCTGTTTCTTGTCCAAAGTTCCTCCTATAGATTAACCGTTCTTGCATAGATTATCTTTCCTCAGTTCTCCCTCAGTTCTGTTGAATTTAAGCCTAAGAAGTGTTGCAGGGTTCAGTAGAGCAAGAAAGCCACGCTGTTAGGAGTTCACTAGGTGAAGCACTTAATCGAAGGAAACACACACAATGCTGCAGCAATCCATGGCACATACAGCCACAAGATGCTATTAAGCTCCGGAAACTTGTGTAACTAACTAAACCAGAAAATAGACAGAACAGTAATTCTATGGATAATGAAAACAGAGTTGCATCTGATGGCATAGATTATGAAAAAGTGTACCATTATAAAAACATATAAACTCTTTTGTTTGGAATGTAAATGAAGTATTCATGATGGACGTTATCAGCAAACTTCCCAAAGAACAGATTATCTCATATCTCTTCAACACAATGCTGACATTTTGTCTAATGGAAGCATCAGTGAAATAGATTGTTCCCATTTTTCCACAGTAATCATAATTCTATCAGTTTCTTCCTACCTTTCACATTGAGTACAAAATCCCATAGGTTTCAATGTACAAGATTTGTTAACTTCCATTTGTCCCATTCCATTACTGATGTAGCATAAGATGCTACACGTTGAGTCATGTGTCTGCTTAGAAGATGCAAGGATCTAATAGGAAAAGCACTGAAGTGCCAAAGCCAATGGATGTTTTATCCAAATAAAAGCTGTAGTAACTGATGAGGATGTGAAAAAACTGTCACATGTTTCATGCCGTGTACACTGCATAGCAGCATAGTGTGCTGGCTGAGCACGATGCAAGATGGTCCAATGCGTATCGACAGGTAAGAGAGAGAAAGAAAAGTGCAAGTAACTCAAATGAAATGAGGTATCATGAAATGTAAATGAAATTAACTTAAATTTTCTGTCTCTCTGGCTTCACTGCAATCTACCGCCCTAGAACTGTTATGAAATATTTTTGACCATGTAATCTGCACTTAACATGGTTGGTGTTGTTCCTGACATCCATCACTTCATTGTCAACTGCAAAGTATCTGCTGACATCCACTGGTGATTCAGCCAGCATGTTGATGATCAGGAATGCTGATCTTTGGTGAAGATGCTATTCTAAACATCTATCTTACAGCAATACACTAGACATTTTTAATGCCCAGTACTGAAAATGTGGGTTGGAAACCTCGTTCAAGTTCCCTGGTAATTTTGCGCAGGTTGAAGAAAATACAATGTAATTTGAATTCCTGGCCTAAAAGTTCAGAGCATTTTGTAGTGATTTCCTACTGCAAGAATTCTGCTTATCAGTTCTGGGTCACAAAAAGCAGTAAAACTGGCTTTCTAACTCAGTAGGTTCTCTGTAAAGGATAAGCAACATGGATTAAGTATTTCTCTTTCTCTATGGATTAACTGTTTCTCTAGGCTTTAGAAAATGTAAAACCAATAGATGACTGCAGAACTGGCAAAGCACCAGAAAACCGTGATAAAAACAGATACCGAGATATTCTTCCATGTAAGTATGCACACTGAGACATACACACAAATTCAATGAATGAAGACATGGGAAACCAAAAAAAATGCTTATGACTGAGTTGTAGGAGGCAAATCTAATGCATCCTGAATCACAAACAGCTCCACTAATACTGAAATGCATGAGATTTTTCCAAAAGAGGTGGGGTTGGACTTGAGAATGTAAGGATATCTTTGCTGCAAGATATGTAGCTTTCTGAAGCCTCATCCTCCATGAGGCAGAGCTTGGTCTGGAGGGAGGCCAGCTGTCTTGGTGTTTCTCTTCCTCTTTCTAAGAGACATGGATCTACTATATTTCTGTGGGGAAATGTAACTTGAGCTGTAATAGCAGCTCTTTAAATATATTTAAATCTACAGTTCTACCTATTGCCTGCGACACAATGGAATTGTGGAAAGAATATATTGAGGGAAATATATATATATTCTGGAAAGTGTGAAAATCAGAATTATGTAGCTCTCGAGAAGCTACAAGATTTTTTCAGAAGTATTTGAACATCTAATATCCAACCTGATCTTTCATCTACTTGACTCTAATCTGATTCTAAGCCTAAACAAAGTTTCGCTACTGAAAAGTGATTTTAGAAGAAAGACTTGAATCAAGAGCTGAATGATTGCTGTTAACAATTCCAATTTCCAATGTCCTGTCCAACTGTTCCCTGAGAGGTATTACGACAGCAAGAAAACACTTTTGGATTCTTGAAGACTTTCTAAACTGAGGCTTTTAGAAGAAAGACTTGAATCAAGAGCCGAAGCAGGACTAAACATGTGAAAGTTGTGACACAGTACAGATTCTTTGGATTTCCTGTTGTATAAAAACAATACCAGTGACAGTGGTCCTATGCTGTAAGTTAATACTAGCATGGAACACACTATTCTGAACAAGTGCCAAACAATTCCTTGGTAGTTAGAAGGCTTGTCCATGTGATGAAAGTACCTTAAGAGAAATAGAGCTGCAATGAACCACATGATGTACTTGGAATAGGAATTCCTGTTATCAGTGATTGATACTAGTGTACAGCCAAATGTAAACTAGAGATAATACTTTCCTGCTAGAGGCTCAGGTTCCACAACTCTTAAATCCTAGATATGGTGGAAATCTGTTTCAGATCTACAGCTGAAAGAGCAACTTTCTGTTTCTGTGCAGACGATAAGACACGCGTTCCTCTCGGAGAAAACAACGGATACATCAACGCAAGCTACATTAGAATGAAAGTTGGAGAAGAGGAACATTTCTATATTATAACCCAGGGACCCCTGCCTTCTACCATAGCTGATTTCTGGCAGATGGTTTGGGAGAATGAATCTGATGTGATTGCCATGATGACCAAAGAAGTGGAGCTAGGAAAAGTCAAATGTCATCGATACTGGCCTGAACCTCCACATGAATCTATAGACGTGGCTAACTTCCATCTCAGGCTAGGTAGTTACCAGATATTGGAGTACTTCATAATAAGAATAATAGAAGTAATCAACAAGCAGGTAAGTTTAGTTAATATTTTTGTAGGTAAATTGTTTATATGAATAAATACTGAGAATATTACACACGTTTGGACAAGAAAGTTCAAAATTAGTTCTTCAATAGTTACAGAACCAGTGTGCTCAGAATTTTGCAGAATTGTTTATCATTCTTATCAAATCACATCTTTAGTCAGGGCTGCCAGAGTGCACTCCTATTCTGTAATGATGGGTGGAAGGAAGGAAGAGGTAAAGGTAGCTTTCATTCCAGAATGTAGAAAGAATGACACTTCTTTCATTCATGAAAAGACATGGATGCACATGAAGCTACAAATTTGCTGAAAGCAAATGAAACGCCTAACAAAAACAGAAACCAGTTGCAAGAACATGGCAACTGGAATGTAAAACTTGAGAGCAATTTTGGAAGGAGAGATTAATTCAAGTAATTCTTATGACATTCTAACTTGCCCTAGAGTAACTTTATTCTTTTTCCATCAAGAAAACAATTTTTCTATACAAAGAAAACATGATAGATCTTATGTGAGTGCAAAGCTCAATTTCAGTAAACAGTACTAGAGTGTTCTACTGTTAAAATATCTTTTTTCTTTTAATTCTAACCAACAAATAAGATAACTAGAGCCTTTTCTGGCAACGTATCTCATGCACAGTTACATCAAGCAAATCTCTCAGGCCTCTGGATTGTGATAGTACATTTCTGTAAAGCTAAAAAATGCTTAAAACACATCTGCTTATTCCATCCTGATCCCAACCCAACAGGGCTACTGTTAGACTTGGTTAGCTATTGAGGCCTTCTCTCTGCGCGTCCATCTTTTCTAGTATTTGCCTTGCAGCTCACAACCTTTCTATAAGTAAGCTCACAAAATAAGAAAGTTTCCTTGATCCTGACATGCATTTGCCTCTATTTCATTGAATGCCTAGGTTTACAAAGGTCATTTTGTTTCCTTAAATAACCCTGAATGGAATTTTTATCAGGAAGGCTTGAGTCCTAAAAACTCCTGGAATCTTTTGTGCTTTCTTTAGTTACCTAATAATGATTTTGCAGAAGAGTTAGTGAATAGACTCAGGTCTTTATAATATGAGTCTACCAGAATACAACAACACTACTCCTTTTTTTCATTTAGTATTTTTGATGAAAACACTGGAAGCAAAAGCTTCTTTCTCTGTTGTCTGTATTCATTTTTTTTCAGTTGACTTTATATAACTATGTTATACTAATATAGTTTCTATTAACTATGCATATACTAATATTTCAGTTAATACACATCCGATCTTTTTCCTCCAGACAGAAGAGAAGCGCTGTATAAGTCATTTGCAATTTACCACTTGGCCAGACCGTGGTACTCCCACACTAGCTGAGCAGCTTGTAAAATTTATTTGTTACATGAGAAAAGCTCACAAGAAAGGACCTGTTGTTGCTCACTGCAGTGCTGGGATTGGAAGAAGTGGAGTTTTGCTGTGTGTTGAAGTTTTGTTGAGCTACATAGAAAAAGATTTATATGTAAGTATCAAACAAGTCATTGGTAAGTACTGCAATATTTTATATACTAAAAACACATATATATATTAACGATACGTGTGGGTAGGACTTGCTTTTGTGTTTTGAACAACAGAGATATTAATTAACAATACATTATTTGTAAAAGAACTGAGTAATACCTTTGCCATCAGGATATGCTTAAATCCTCCCTTTTAAGTTGGACTTTAATAATATAAAATCTGTTCTCTCTTCATAGTTCAACATCAAGCAGATAGTGAGAGATTTGAGACATCAGCGTTTTGGCATAATTCAAACTAGGGTAAGTTCTCAATATTTAAGACAGAGTATGATTTTTAAAAGCCCTATTCATGGTACATATCTACATGCTTGGGTAAATCAGGGGCTTAAAGCATATTTTCAGCCCTCTCACTTGAGGAAAATGACAGCTTTTTATGTAAGTGCTAGACACAGTCAAATATAAAAATTCTGATCCTTACTAAATAACTGAAATAGAAAATAGAAAGCAACCTCTGGTGTAGCTTATAAGCACTTGAAATTTAGTACAAAACAGCAATGTTGTACAGATACAGGGCCAACTATTTTCTTTTAGGTAAGAAGAAAGGCAAATAACAGGGCTTAGGAACAAAACAGGTCAGATCTCAAATGAACTGCCCTGCAAAATTGCAACCTTCAGTGGAGTTCTGAGCCCTATGCTGAGTTGCTGTCTCAGTAAACCCATCTATTTAACCAAACCTGCCCCTACCTAGAATTCTCATATAGGAAAGACAAGGTGATTTTAGCTGAACTTTGAGCAAACGGAAGGTGTGAAGAAAAGGAGGATAAGGCTGGGCTAAGTGATGCAGAGGCCATTATGTGTTCCCTTTTCTTTATGTAGACAAGTATTTAAGCAAATGCTTGGGTGTATCTTTCTTCAGGATAATGACTGAACATGTGCCTAAATTTAAGCCTGCAGATAACCTGCTTTGACCTCAGTGACACTTGGACAGATACTTAATTTCAAAAGAAAGCATTCCTGAACTTTTATGAGTGAATAAAATGAACAAGGATGTCTCAGGACAGTAACTGTCTCAGTTATTGTACCCACATTGCAAAGTTACTGATGTTATAAGCAACATTTCAGCCAGTTGATTGTTCTTTGTCTATATGTTGAATGTTACTGGTTATTTCACATTGGTGCCTCTCTACAGGATCAGTATTTATTCTGTTACGAAGTTGCGTTGAAAGTCCTTCAGAACATTCAAGCCATGGATCCCCACTGACTGCAACAAGACTCTTCCCTGTTATTCTGGGATCATTCAACTATTCCTATAGTATTCCTATGTTAAGCCAGGATGGACAAGTATTGTACTACACACTCTGTAAGATTATTCTGATTTTTAAACCATTTTAAAATTTTGCTTAACATGCTCTAGGTAAGTCATATAAATCTTGGCTCGCAGTTTGGAGAAACAGCCAAAACTACAACACTCCTGTTAAGCCACCAGGGACAACTTCAGTGTTCTCTGTAATAACATGCTAGTTGTTAGAAACATATTTTTGGACTGAGATGAAGAGAAAGCAGCCTCTAGATTTAGTTTTGCTGTCCAAAAAGCAGCAGAAAAGATCTAAAACCTGAAAGATCTAAAAGATCTATTGGTGTTGGTTGAGGATGGGTTGACCCTTACATACAGTTGTAAGCTGTAAGTTGCAAGCTGTTGGGTCCTATACTGCAAATCAGTATTTCCTATTGCAGTTACGCTTTTGTGTAGAAGGACTCAATTTGTTTAGCTCTAGTTGTCTGAATGATGTCAAATCATTTCCAGGCATCACTCCAGCACAGGAATTTATACCATCACCACTGGAAATGTGAAATCACAAGACTGACAGAACGACAGGAGACACCAAAACCATAGCTAGTGCTCTTCAGAGCAGCAAGAGAACTCTAGAAATTTGAAGGAATTTTCATTTTCTTCCAACAACAGAAACAGCTGTAGACAGTGTTGGTTTCATTGAGCATCCATGTGAAAAGGAATGCAATACTAAACCAGATGAAATAACCACGTACGTGTGTGTATTGTGGCACACATTTACGTTTCTTCTTTCCCTTATCATTTCCATTGATTAAGTATCTCGTAATTCTAATGTAGGATCTGGTCCCGTTTATGGAAATCCCAACTGATTTCAGTAGGGGGAAGAATCAGATCTTTAAGTCAGAGTAAATAACTATCTGTATACATATTTTTTCCTTGTAAAAAGTGGATCAGTTTGTATATTTGAGCAGATACTACTGTTCCCCAACTGTGTGCTCTTGTGAGGTTTAAACCTAAATTAAACTCTAGAAGGCTCTCTGGTGTTTCTGACAGGGAGGCTCACTGACGGGTTTCATTTGTCTGAGTTAGTCAGATTGTAACTATTTCTATAGTACTTCCAATTTCTTTATCTAGAAGGTGATATATATGGAAATGGAATTATTAGATATGCAAGGAAAGGGTAACTTTTAAACATAGGAAATGATAACAGCATTTATTTAACTAAACTGTACATATTTTTAAAACTTCCCTGATTTCAAAAAAGGTGAAAATGTTAATAGGCATTTGACTATAAAACAACAGTATTGAAAAAGACAATAAAATAGCTGTTTCTTTTCATTAGAAATGAGAGATTTATGACTCAGAAAGAATGAAGCATTAAATGCAAATTAAAAGTATGATTTTTAGAAAAAGCCTTTGTAATACAATTATAAATAAGGCCAAGGGTCATTCTTGGTTTTCTGTCCTCAGATAGTTTGCTGGAATCAGAGAGGAAAAAAAAAAAAGGATTAATATGAGCCAGATGCTTAATTTCAATCACACTGATAGAAATCCAGAGTAATTCTAAAGCAGTGGAGTAGCACTGGACTTATGTCGGTATAAATATAAACAGAACCCAATGTTTTGTCTTAAATTAATTGAATTGGAGTCTTCTGGAAATCATTATTCTCTCTATATTCTGAATTTACTATATTAATGTTACATATAAAGGACTATTTGCACAATTTTTTCAAGCTTCATCAGCCAATTTTTTGTTCATAACTTTGTTACCTCCATTTGGTATTTGGCCTTTTACTTTGATTTTATTTATTGTACATGTACTACTATGCAAAGTAAGACTGCACACTAATGCACAATTCACTTTTTGTACCACAACAACTTTAAAAAGCTTTTCAGTGAAAATATTCCTGGACTTTATGCAAAGATGCTTTTTTTTTCCTGTAGTTTAGAACAAGAATTTGGATTTGGAAGATAGTTTTTGTGGCACTGTTTGTTCCTCCGGATTTGTGCATCATCTTTGCAGCTGTTTAACAGACGTGTTTCTTGTTTTACAGGGATATTAAAAAAGATTTCTGAAAAAAACACTTTGGATTGGGTTTCATTTCATTACTTTGTATGAAATGGCTGTTGTAAGACTTAACCAAACAGCAAGAGCTTTGGGGAAAACTGCTCTTTTATTAATGGAGCCTTCCCCTTTGGCGGGGAAGTCCTTTATAGACTGGGCAGTGCAGGTAAACTCAGAACAGACAGAAGACTGTTCTCATTTCAGCATAGAAAATTTCACTTGCAAGGGAATCTGTTTTTTCCAACTGAACTATTCATACCAAGAGATTTAAATCTGTTATTTACTTACAGGAATATCTGTAATGTGGTCAGCCATTTAGGGGATGGGGCGATCTACAGCCAGTTCTTCCATATGCAGTTATGTCCTTCAGAGCCCTGAGCAGCTGTCCTACTCATTTATGTTTTACCAGCTGACATATCCCAGACTGCTTAACACTGGACTCTGCTGAGCTGTTTTGTTCTTTTAAGTTTATATTTGAACCCAAATTAGCATCTCTCACCCGTCTCTCAGGGCCTCATATCAGTGTTCTAAGATCATGCACTCACTGAGTACAACAGGAAAAGTTTAGAAAAATTTGGCTTTTTTTTCCCTCAGAAAGATGTTTTGATGACTCCTCTCTAGTTAACATTATTTCTACAGGAAAAGATAAACAGAACAGCTCTGAAACAAAGCCACTGTAGATAAGCACGTGTAAGAAAAGTCTATTTCTGAAGAAGGATGAATGTTCGAATTCTTGCATAAATGAGGCCTCTGACGGCAGCAATGCTTAGGTACTGCTCATGGTTTTACAGTTCTATGTGCATGTTTTCAACTGAAGGTACTATAAACCTATGGTCCAGCTGTACCTCCCTGAGATATATGCTTCCAGGAGTAAGGAGAAAAATATGAGTTTTGATATATGTTAGAATCAAAGCACCAATTTGCAGCCAGCCTTGGAAAAGAACCTCTTACAAATAGCCACAGCATTATTTCTGAGCCAACTGCTTTTAAAAATGATAATTAGAAGTGCATATCAGACAAATAATGACTTTGGGGACCAGCTGCAATTATGGGGAAGAAGAATAGCAGACCATACTCAAACCTGTCTCTAATTCGAAATTCCGTATTTCTTCCAAACAAGAAACAACAGACTTGCTTTATTTCTCATAATTCTCTAAAAGGTTTTCCAATGTGCAGCTGTGATTCACAACACACCGGTCACTCTCCACATGCCTTTGGGTGAAATATCATGCTATTTATATTTTTCTGTTTTGTGCGTTTCTTGTCATCTAGGTAACAGCACCGTTGCTTATAAAAATGTAATTTTGTAACTATACTTATCATTGGCTGCATTCATCTTCAGGATTAGAAACTAGGCACAATCATCACAACTAGCCAACCAGCTTTGGCTTTGATTCATGAGCTCTGATTGATGAAGATAATTACAGCTGACACGCTATATGAGGAACTGCAATAACTGAAGGCAGGAAATCCACTTCAGGCACCCTTGCAACAGAAACCTCCAGTAATGAGGTGCAATCGACAGACTGACTGGTCCAGTGACATCCTAAATCACAGCAGCTGCATCCACCAGTCCGCAAATGCTGATACTTCAGCAACAAAGTCTGGCGTGATGGCGCAGACGCAGTAAATGTAAAAGCCACCAGTATGACAAGGTAACAGCTAGCACATACCACCACCTATGGGCAAGCTGCTGGTGTTGCAATATTAATTGCAATTAGTCGCTTGTGCCCTTAGGAGCAAACTACTCGGTTAACTGGCACTGAAGTTCACTCAACAGCTTTGTGGGGAGCTGCTGGGCTGGAGGCAGAGCTCTCAGCTCTGCGTGGCCAGGCAAGAGCCACGCGTTGCAACAAGCCATGCAGGCAGCCCGCAGCTCGTCCCAGGGATCTCAGGATAATGGAGCACTGTGGCTACTTCAGGAAAGAGCAGGTTCCACATGCCTAGGATTTTGACAGGCTCTGGCCAGATCTTGAGCAGAGCCCAACTCGTGCCTAAGCCTCTTCTTGATCCAAGAGTACGGCCGCTTTTGGGATGATGCATTTTCTCCACTTTCTGAAATCCTATTGGAGTTTTATAAGCACTTCTTTTATTAAACACTGTGAACAGGTGAACCAGCTTAACTGCGGATATTTAAACTTTATTGGACATATTTAGTGCAAGATAACACCATAAACTCTTTTCCCTTGCTAGGCCGTTGCTTTCTTTTGTCAGGTATGATACAAAGTCATCTGCAGAATGAAGACTGGAGAGACTGTTGGGTGTCTGTTACTAGTGAAGGACAACAGTATTTCTGACACCTGTTAGATCAGCACGGTTCTGGGATCAACAGGAAGCCTACTGATTGCAAAGATGACTGATTATTATCATAATAGTATAAAAAATGGATGCCAGTCAAGATCTCTGTGCTGAAGAGAGAGACAGCCTGTGCAGCCTAAATGGACAAAAGGTGAGAGTTAACTATTAGTTTGATCTTTTAAATGTCCAGTAGCTTGTGTGATGGGTAGACAGAGGAACTATAAAGCCATGTATAACAGTAAAGTACTATTTGCCCATAATTTTGCACTGACGTAACTTTGTAGGTTTAGAAATAAGTTTGTGAAACCATAGAAGTTTTTTGGAGTGCCATACAGATGTAATTTTCCTTGTTGTGGTCAATGACTCAGTGCATACCAGGAAGAAGGGTAACTCATTCTCTACTCATGTTTCTTCAGACCTGAAAGCATTGAGCAGATACCACAGAATCACAGAACCAAAAAGCAGTTGAGGCTGGAAGGCACCTCTGAAGATTGTCCAGCTCAACCCCCTTGCTCAAGCAGGGTCACCCAGAGCAGGTTATTCAGGGCCACTTCCAGTCAAGTTCTGAGTGTCTCCAAGAATGGAGACCCTGCAAGCTCTCTGTACA